TATATATATATATATATATATATGTGCATGCATACTTTGGGCTAATGGCTGAATTGGATCCTGCATAGCCCATATTATATGGTACAATATTGATACTGTTTTTGAATTCAACTGCTCCACATCAAGCATTGAGAAGCAATAATAGCCTCTTTTTTAATCTTAGAAAATAACCCAAAGTTTTAAGTTTATCTGCACTCTGAAGCAACAGCTTTACTTTGATTAATTATGTGATGTTCACTTTCCTCAACCCTGCTTTTGCAACTAGTCGCTATAATAGAGACTTTTTTTTGGGGGGGGGGGAGGAGTCTTAAGAAAGAAAAAAGGAACCAAACAGTACGGAATTTATTGATCTCACAAAATATCCAGAGAACATTCAAAATAGTGCTCATTTTAAATGATGATTGCTTGAAATTCATATTGTAGACCTGGTGAGATTTCAATATCGTAGCGGTTCCGTGCCTTTGAGCTATCGATTTCCAGGGGTATCGTACGTTGTTGCGGGTGACGTGTGCAGAAATTCATCAATGAACTGCTGTCGCAATGGTTACTAAACGACTCGTGAAATGTCCATCAAATGCTGCATGAACTGCACAAACCATGCATTTGTTTTCATGAAATTTACTTTTTTCGTGTGAGGAATGGCAAATTAATCAACCCCCCAAAACGATAAGCGAGATAAAAAATGGCTACCAATAGCTGAGGAGGAGGGAAATGGAAATGAAGTACACCCGAAAAGCATTTGAGCTTATCCTTTTGCTATGCATACCGAGCAATATTTTTCGATACTATACTAATAAAAAAATTACCGAAATATATCCATCCATCCATACATACATATAATATAAATATATATCTATATGTGTATCTATATGTATGGATGGATGTATATATTTATTTATCACCAATTTTATGTATTCTGAAACTAAATGCAAAAAAAAAAGGGTTTCTATTTTGTAAATAATCACTAAACATTTTCAGCATGGAAATGAACATATAAATAAATATATAGGTAACACATTGTGGTAAACATAAAAATATAAAAATCCAAATCAAACATAAATACGGGAAAATCCAAAAGTAAATGGAAAATTTTTTCTTTTCTGTTCTATATTTCTAGGAAAAATAGAATAGAAAGGGATCCAAAATATAAAAATGCTGAAAAAATATTCCAATCCTTGAAAAAAGGGTAAACCACAAAGAAAATCAAACAATGATGCCATCCAAAATTTTCACTTTTTTTTCTAAAAATAAAACTAATAAAGATAGAAATATCAATTCCAATTTCTCTCTTTTCTCTTCCTCATTATATATTTAGTAGTTGTTATGTATCGTTTATAGTCATATATTATTTCTTTAACTGTAAATGCAATTGTCCCGATGGATATTAACAGTAGTAAACACTTTATAGTGTACCCGATCTCATCGATGCGGCCTCCGGCCCTCAAACCGGTGTACCCGGCGTAGTTCAACCTCATCACAAGAACGGCGGAGCTGAAGCCGAACACACCACCTACAAACACCTGCGGTGCGGTGTGGGCGCCACAAATCACGCGGAGAGCCGAGCCGTAGATGGCACAGGTGAGGATTAATCCCTGCATGAGCCACAGGACACTATTAACACGAGTAGCACAGGAGAAAGTAGAAGCTCTACATGGGTATAAAGATTTCACCTGGCTACGCTGCAGCCCTTCACAGGCAAGGATGGACAGGAACATAAGGGACGCTGCGTGGTTGCTTGGCATGCCTGAACTTTCCTTTAGGGCCCCTGGTGGACGCGCTTGGTTAAGGACGCGCTTGAGGAGGACGTTCAGGGCCACCATCACACAACACATAATAGTCATAAAAGGCACAGCAATGGTGCTCGCGGTGGGATCAAAGTAAAAGATATTAACACCGACCACACAGATCGCGACAAAGATGACGGTGTGATCATCTAGAATATAGTTTATTTGGCAAAATTTATTCATTTGAGAATTTTAGGACAGGATGGAAAATAATAAAAAAATCGAATATGGAGTTTACAGTCCAATGTATTCGTAAATTAATTCTTTGCTAATTAGCCTGTTGGAAGATATTTTAATGGAAGAAGTCAAAGCAGAGGATAAGAAGAGAGCGATATATATACAGATGGATAGAGAAGGTAAGAGAGCAAGAGAGGAATGAAAACATTCCATCAGGAAGACCAGTATCAACATACATAAATATGCACCGCTCTATTAATATCAGTCCAGGCCAAAAAATAGACAATCCGTTGAGAGAGAACTAATAGAAAATAGTGGGTTCAATGTGCCCTGGTGGTATCCCAGATATTTGGTATAAAACATACCGACACGTATTTATGATCCCTTGTATTAGTAAATAGTAGCGGAAATCAAAAGAGATTAACCAAAATAAGGCTTAATAATAATATTAATAATAGCAATAGTATGCAATCCGAACATATTACGTCATGTTTTCCTTTACTTTGGGGCTCTGTACTACTTCCATTCTGTGTATGAGAGATGGTTTTTTTATTATTATGGATCACCATACTTCAATTTTTCATAGTGATGTTTGGTTCACGCGCGAGAGGTCGGAGTAAGATCCGGACTCCTGGAGCTATCCTTCTGTTTTTTTTCCTAATGACCATTGCTGTTACCAATTTTGCAGATGGAGGACAAACCTTCAAAAAACAGGTAAAGAATACAAATACCACTTAATTACATTACCTTTTCCAACTTTTCGGCGGACCACTCTGTTAATTTACATAACCAGGTATATCATCCTCAAAGCACAATAGTGCAACCCGTGTCTTTTTCTGTCTATTCACAATTTTTACGAAACACACTCTAAACCTCTTACCCTCTTTATACTGAAAAGAAAAGCCTTATCATTTAGATGTGCCTTGAGTCACCTTATTTCCTAAAATCCTTGAAATTTATAACGTATGAGGGGTACATCGACGTCTTCTTCATCGCCAATCATGCCTGTTCCCACAAAGTTTAAATAATCATCGCCCTCCTGTAAGGACTCCCCTTTCTCTATCGCTATCTGAGAGACCAGCTTTATTTTATCCTTCGCCTTACCACCAAATTGTGTATAGACAATGCGCCCGCTTGGAAGAGCAAGCATGAACACAGACAGATGGTAGCGCTCCTCCAGCAAGCTAACAAGCTTCTCCATTGATATTTCCTTTCCTTCGTTGATGTCTATGTGATCCCAGACCGTCCAGGAAATTGTCGTGCCCTTGTCGTCCACGGAGTAGGTACGAACCTCTGTGAGAATGGGATCTGAAAACGCGAGAAATGGAAGCGCGATGTTCACAAAGGCATTGCGGTAGTAGGAGAGGAGCTCATTTGCCTGGTTTCGGCTGGGTATGAAAGGCGTAGACCCGGAATTGCCGGACCGCTCGAACTGATATTGAACGTAGAGATATTTAAGTAGTTCGAATCCCACCATTCCGGTCACTAACGCGGTTGTCGTGACCATCGCGGGCGTGATATTTCCCGCGATGCGCTTGGTGTACGCGAGGTCAGCGGACGGGATGCCGTACGCCCTCGCACGGAGATTCGAACAGTACGTGATAAACTCAATATGATGATTGGTGGCGTCGTCTTTCTCGAACTCCAGCGGGTCCATCGTCTTTCCAGTGAAGAGCGCGGGTGATGGGAGGTCTTGAATTTGAATTTCCCCCGCGAGTTGCACCGCAGCCGTATCCTTGGTTTCTTTTTCCGTCGTCGCGAAGACGGCGTGGCGGGGTACAAAGTCGGGGACTACCACGGCGGCCGCCCTTTTCGCCACATCGTCGACGGAGAGCTCCAGCGGTGGGTGATTAAAGACCTTCGCGAGAAGCCACGCACAATGGTAGACGAACTGTGCATCGAATTCGTCATCCGGGTTGAAGATCTGGGGTGTCGGGGGTTTCTTGCCTCCGCTCCAAAAAAGTTCGCCATCCTCGTTCCGCTTGTCAAGGGGGATGTTGTACATCAGTTGCTTGAAGACCTCGTTGAAAAATTCTTCGTAGAGAAGGCGCGCGGCACGTATACAATGATCCGGGGTGGTAGGCCACCCCCGGAGGGTGTCGTTAACGCGTTTGAGCACCAACGAAGCGCCGGCGGGGTCGAGTTCCAGCGACACCTCGAAAGCCTTGGGATCCTTCAAGTACGCGTTAACATCACCAGGGGAGGATTGGAAAAGAAGGTGGAATTTATCCCGCGCCCACTGAATAGTGTGCTCGATCGCGTTAGGAAAATTCTTCAGTGTGCATAGCGGAATCGACTTTTCAGGCGGGTCGTAGCTGCTACTATAGCTTTCGGTCACATAGGGTATCACACACTGTATGTTGCCCTTCGCCCCAAGGGTTCCGCTCTCAAAAAGCGGTCGCTTGTAGAAAAGACAGCGACCGTCCACATACTTTCGGCTGCCCACGTTGTCCAGTGCACCAAGGACAACGGAATGAGAATTCCAGAAGGTCTCATTAAAAATCCCCTCCGTCTCGGAACCGATCTTTTCTTCATAGGAAGTTGTGTGAAGGCCCGGGTTGATCTCACGCGCCGCGGCCGCGGCGACAATAGACTTCGCGCTTCCGATGTGGTGACTACGAAAGAGGAACTGCCGCGAAAGGTTGCTCAGCTCAATGTTATCCATGTCGGTGATCGTAACGCCACCCAGTCCCATCAAGGCAATATTTTTGATATGTTCACATCCCAACGCACCGGCACCCACGATAAAGGCGCACTGTCGATGCATGTAGGATTGGAAACCAGCGCCCAGTACAATTTCCTGCCCAATATAGCGACTATCCGATAGACTACGACGTGCCTCAAGCCATTCCTCCGGGGTACCCGGCCGATCCCTCAACAACTCTCGGGTGTCGTAGTAGAGCCACTGGTAGATGGGCGTAAATTTACCACTGCAGAGCTTCAAGGCCTCCTGCGCGGCGATCGCGCCGATAAAACAGGTCATCGGGTTGAGGTCTCCCGTGTAAACCGCAAGTACCTTCCGGGCTAGCTCGACATCGAGGCTCGAATCCATCGCAAGCGCGGTGTGCAGGACTTTTTTCATCTCATCGATGCTTTCGGGCCTGATGCCGGACTCGGTGACAGCTCGGAACACGGCGTGCAGGGTGCTCGCTGCGCCCGACTTGGATTCCCCGTCAAAAATCGTCACAAATTGAGGCTTCTTGATGGCATCTCGGAGGTTGTGAAAGGACAGCCTGAGGCTCTTCTTGGTGGTATGTAGATGGGTACTTTTGCCGATGATAACCGGGGCGTCATTGGGAAAGTCCTTCACTCGGAGGATATGCGGCGAGATCACCTCGGAGACCTCAAAAAGGCGAGGCGGCGTCGCGCACACGCGCTGCGGCCCACCCTTCCCCTCCCCTGAGTTCGCGCTTACCGGGGAAAGAAGCCCGGTGAAGTAGACCAGGCTTCCGACTTCGCATTCGTGTTTTTGATCGTAGAGCGTCACGATGCCGTCCCGGGTGATCCCGATCACCACGCACACCACCGCCTCCTCGCCGTCCGCGTCGACCACGGTGAAGGCGTCGCCGCCGTCAACGAACACCCCCCCGGCGATCCCGCGGCTTTCGCAGCCGACGAAGCCGACCCCGTGGCGGCGGGCCCGTGCGTTGGCCTCCACCAGCCCAGCGATGGGCTGTCCGGCGTAAATCACGACGTGGGCGGCGGGGAAGGGGTCCGTTCCGACCCCCGCGGTGACCTCGACGAAGCGGTTCAGCCTCCGCGCGGCCAAGGCCACGGTGAGCCCGCGCGGTTTGCCGAGGTCCTCGATCTTTAGGAAGAAGTTCGTGCCGAGGTCCGCCCTTTGGACCGGGGCGTCGTCGATAATTGTAACAGACCGCACTCCTGTCAGGATGAGGTTCTTCACGATCTCGGCCCCCAGCCCTCCCGCGCCCACCACGACGATGTCTGTGGCATCGTACTTGGCCTGTGTCTCCGCCCCGACAACGTACTCTTGGCGATTATACAGCTGTCGCTTTTGTGCCTCTATGGAAGTCATTAGGTAAAATGTGAATAAGAAGAGTGTAGTTACAGCTTTTCTTATATATATATATATATATATAATTTAGGGGGGAGTATTATTGGAGCTTGGGTAGG